AAAATAACCATTTTTTTTTCCCCCCCCCCCCCCCCCCCGAGAAAGTTTTCTGCGGGCGCCCATGGATGGCAGATGGGATTCGGGGAATAGGGAATGTGATGTCGGAAGGAAGAAACCCTGACTGTTGACCGGGAAATATGATAACGATGTCAGGAAATAAGGCTCTTAGGCAGAATTTAAAGCTTTTTATCGTGTGTGGTTTGTATTGTGCCTTTGCTGGTTGCGATCTCTCGATGAAAATCTACACATACTATCTGTGAGTATTAGTTTAAAAAACAAATGTGGGAGTGGGGAAAGACAAAGTTTGTATTTTTTTCTTTCACATTTTGTCTGTTACGATTGTGAAGGACTTTAATCATCTGTCAAAAATAACATGTTATGTCATTTATCGGTGGGCCTTTATCTACATACGGCAAAGAAACTAAAGAAATCAAATAATTCTTCTTCTTGAAACTAAACTAGGACCTTACTCCTTACAATATTAACACTTTATGTCACTTTAACACTTGCAATTAGAAAAGAATTTTGCGAAAAATTATAAAATAATAATACAAATAATATCAGACTGCTATAAACTACTGCCATGTAGGTACTTAATAATTTCTCTTTCCATCCTTTCATTTCTCTGATAAGTCACAAGTACATTTCGGCTTTCCCAAATAAATAATTGTAGGCTACATTTTTTCGGTACACCCAATTTAAAGCAGAAAAATTTGAAATTAACATGAACGTTGTTGGGAAATGAGGTTAGCAATGAAAAATGGTTGGTGATGAGGTAATTTTATTTAGACTAAACCTAAACCTAGCCTGCCTGTAACTTTAACTTTGTAGTCTAGTCAGTGTAGTAATTGTTAATTGTAAAGTAAAAAGTAAAGACTTAAAACTTTTAAGTTAAAATATTAAAGAGTAAAGGAGGGCGTACAATATATAATATACAAGTACAAATTTAGTATAATTATTAATTAATTTTATGCTCTGGCAGAGTCTCTGGCTTCAGGAATAATAATAATAGATTTACTCAAACGGACTCACAATTCAATGTTTACAATTACAAGTACAACTTAGTGAATAAGTACAAGAATTATTACACATCTACAATACTATACAGTACAGTACACAAATAACTTGCATGTTACTGCAGTTTAAATTTTAACTTCTCTATCTTCACCAGATTTTGAAATATTTAAACTAGAGGGCTTACAGCACAGCTTACTAAGGTCCACTTAGACTTAGGACACTACTGGTTGTTGTTAGTTAGGGCTGTTCATATAGCCATAGCATGTCACCCTATTCTTGGACAATTTTTTACCCTCTACTTCTACCTTCACCCTGTCACAAGTCTCAGATTCCCCCCCACCCCCACCCCACCATGTACATCACGCTATTGAACTAAAATAAACAAAATTAACAAATAATTCAAATTTAAAACACACTTCACTATTAAATTTATAAAAGAAAAGTGACATCTTTCATCCTGTCAGAATGCATACATCACTGCAGAAAGTGAAAGGCCACTTAATATTTATGATACAAAAGTTTAAAATGTGTGACGTCACACAAGATCTTTAACACCTCTCCCCACACACACACACACACACACACCATTGTCCCAAACTAATCCCCCCCTCCTCCGGAGCATAATGTTTTTTATGGATGGCCTCTTAGCTAGTTATTAGTAAGGCTACTTACTAAAGACCCACCTAAGTTATTCTTTGCCTGTTATTAGCCTAATTCTAATATTTAAATTAGCTATTTCTGTTAGTTTTAGTTATAACAAAATGCCTGGTGATGGGTTGGATGACACAGGCATATTACATTATGTGAAGAGCACCCCAAGCATAACAGAGCAGTTTCTGCAAAAAAGTATTAATTTATTTAATTATGAAAGTTATACAGTTTTATAGATAAAAAAATAAACACATATCAACTAGCTATAGTAATTTTTGATCTGCAATGAATTTTTTAAAATTCTGAGTTCATTAGTCCTTTTACATGGTATGCCTATAAATTCCATCAACTTGTCCACCCAGTCACTACAATTTTTTAATTATAGTGAACATGTCTTTATTAATTACAGATGTAACAATTGAATTACCCTTTCAAGATACATCAGCCATGCATGGAAACAGTAACAAAAATATCCCAGCAGCAAGAGGCAGAATTGCTAGAATTAGATGTTTACAAGACTGCATAGATAGCTTGAGAAAACGACAGCCATTTCCTGACTGTTTGTGTTATATACCATCAGAACTAGAATATACAACTTCATGTAAAACCACCTGGAAACTGCTAGATGCACCAAATAAAACAGCCAAAGTCGTGAAGGAGATAGCAGCAACAACAAATAGTACACTCATAGTTAGTGGAGAGGATTTATGCAATGGAGATGGCAAATGGTTGCGGGTTTTAAAGGTAGTTATCATTTCATCTCTGCCCTGATTTTTTAATTATTTTCTAAAAATTGTATGCTAAAATCTGGGGATCTCACAAGGAAGTATATTTTATTAATTTTTTCCCTGCCGAATAGAGCTATCATTGTGTTTACACTTCAGACACTTAATAGCATTAGTTTTCAATTAATTTGTTATTGAATTAAAAATTCATATGTTGGGTTTCTATATTTGCTAAGATTTATCTACTTTTAATCATATTATATTTTGTGTACTAAATCTAATTTTAAATGTTATTCATCTTCTCTAGAGAATAAAATATCCCTTTTCCAGTTCAAATAATACGTTTTGTAACTTTTTGTTATTCAGACCAAAATCACAGCAAATGAAGAGTATGAGAAAGTTCCAGGGGAGTGCCTGTGGTTGTTGCTTTTCTCAAGTCGTAGTTCAACAGAAGAAACACCATCTGCGGTCCCTGTGCAGGATCATTTAAATTCAAACAGAAGCAAGAGCAATCTTTTAAAAAAACAGCAACAAAGAATTAAAAGGTAACTACCAGCAGTACAGCTGAAATATTAGAAGTTTAGAAGACATAATAATTTATATATGGAGAGAACACTAAAGTTCATATTTTATTTGATTGAAAAATTATCTTTAAGATCTCCATTTAGGCAATATCTTGCTACATTAACAATAAAAACCACACAATCTTGCACATATTGTAGTGCAGCTGAGTGAAACATACACAAAATTGTAAGGCAGGAAATTATTTGTCTGAACAGAAAACATACAGTTTATTTACTTTTTACAATTACTAGTAATTGTGAGATGGTAGTTATTTATCTAGACAAAAACTGCGAAAAAAGAAAATTATATTAAATTGGCAGATGAAAATTTGAGTTTTAAGTTATCAAATGTGTATATTTTATTATGTAATGATTATTGTTTGTTTAAATGTAAAAGTGTGAAATACGAGTTGTTAACTGTCAAATCTTGATATTTGCAAACTTACATATACTTTTTTTTTTCACAGCTGGGAAGGTATGATAGAGGAGACTTATTCTCCAATACTTAAAAAACATAGGGCTTACATTGTTCCACCTGATGGAGAGGCTGTTGCCAAGTTAAATTTTCTAGACAAGAACTGGACACTTGAGCATGATGCAGCATTAGTGCAGCTCATGTCTAACAATATACCTCAGGAGACAGAAAATCTTGGCTCTCTTAGAGGATTTGTAGAAGCTATTGGCGTCTCATCATTCTCTGTAAGTAATACATTTGACATTTTTATATTATGATTTAAATATTTCACTAGAAGGTAAAAGTCATTTATTTCCATGATAAAAAAATTTCAATAATCATAATATTAATAAAATTATACAACATGAATGTTGAAATTTATTTTGAAAAATATTCTATACTCTTTCGATGTTCTTGAGTTTGTCAGTTTATCTAGCTACTGTACTTTGAGATATTAAAATAAATTTTATTAATCCCCTTGTCTCACCATAGAGATTATAATTTCTCATACTCATCAAATTTTATTTTATCCCCATTCCTACTTTTATAACAATTGTTACCATTTCTTTGTTATAGTCTGGGGATGGTGAGAGTGCCAATCTTACAGATGATGACCCTAATACCTACTGGGAGACAGATGGCCAACAGGGACAGCACTGGATAAGGCTTACCATGAAGAAAGGGACCATAATTAAGTAAGTAGCCAATCCCTAAGAAAGCGAAAGATAATATAATTTTGTTAAGGACTATGAATTAGAATTAAGGCATTGAAGCCTTTTTCTTCCACATCTGTATGAGTAATTAAAATTATTTTCAGCTCAGGACATCAATGTTTTTCAGTTTAGATTGCATTTTAAGATCATCCAATTCCCTTTTCTCCAGTCTGCATTAAAAAAAAACAAAATAACTGTAAAGAATATTCTTTTCTTATGAAGCCAACTTCTTTGGCCTAGAGAAAATGTAATCTTTGAATGTTTCCAGCTTTTCACAGCTTAATTTCTTACTCAACAGGTCTTTGTCCCTACTTGTCAGCATGGCCGATGACAACTATTTACCAGAAACAATTGTAGTAGTTGCAGGAGAAGCTGATGATGTTAAAGTTTTAAACAGCATTAGTATCAACTGGTGAGAATTTATGTTAGAAATAATTTATTACCCTATATTATGTGAGGGATTAATCTTTTAAAATTCTATAATTTAGCTTTCATCTTAAAAAAGTCATTTTGGTCTGATAAATAGTTTTGAGAATAAAAGACCATGCATGTATTGATAAAATTTATGAAATTTGTCTCTCAAAATAACTTTTAAATGAGGTAAAGTCTATTAATTATTTTATGATATGTACACACCAACAGTGTTAAACGTTTGGTATTTTAAAAAAAGGAAACCCATATTACCTTTTATGTATTACCGGTAATAAAAAATTATCATACAACAACTTTAAAAGGAACTTTTCAACTTCATTTTATTTCTACTGACCAGGTCCACCCAGTCAAACACAGAAATCAAAATACTTGAAAATCTTACAGAACATTATGCAATTGTTACTGTTAGGATAAAATCTTGTAAATGTGAGTGCAGTTTTAATATTGATAGATTGACTTAAACAGATTTTTTTCAATAGTGTTGTCAGTTGTTTCTATTCATTAATTTGCTAAAATGTAATGACAAGGTATGCTAAACTTGAATTCATAGACAGGATAAAAGATTTGGACGTTTTGGCTTAGAGCCTACGTGAAATATAAAGTCCTTATATTTCATTTACACAACTTGAATGCAGTCCATCAATTGTTATCATTAATTTGCTCAAGGTTTTTTTTAAAATAATTTTTTTTAAAAATAATTCAGCCCATGGCATAGATACACGTATTCGTGGTATCAAGCTGAACTGTTTGGAAGAGCGAAGTCTTGGATTTGACCAAGAATTTTTCTCTGGAGAACGATTAGTGAGATATCCATTGTTGCAGTCATTTTCTCCTGCAGTAAATTATAGGCGTTCAGTTGTGCTTCAAAGGTTGGTTGTTATTTTGGTGTTAATCCTCCAAGAAAAATATGAAATAAATTGTGTGAAATTCAGTTTTATTTGTCATTCAACTAGTTCTAGATAAAGCAGATAGATTGAAATATCTGCCTTAAAAAATTTAATTTCTTGTCTCTAAAAATAAAATAAAAAGATTTCCTTTACATCAATTAAATGTTTATTGATTCCCTCTCATATTTTAGGTTTATTTGGCTTTTAGACAGTGTTATACATTATTTGATACCAGCATGGCAGTCTTCAATTGAAAGCTGCAACTTTACAGAGGGCAACACTTTAGCAAATTTAGAGGTGAGGAAACCTTATAGGGCTGTCTTTGAGGAATAGGTTCAGCTGGAATGAGAAGTTCTTGATGCTCTTTAAATGGGAGAGAAATAAATGTTTAAAAAAATACAAATGTATTCATAATTTATAAAATGCCATACATGACCTTAAAAATCCATTCTTACTCTTAGAGACAATAAAAGTTATAGCTCATTCAAAATTATAAAAATATGAAAAGAAAGTTAAGAAAGACTTTGCAGCAGTGCACTGATAGAATTCAAAATTTTGTAAACATAGGGATTTAGTGAACTGACAATAAGCTGTTTTGAGGACAGTCTTTACAGAAAATTGTTTTATACTTCGATAAATAATTAACTGGTCCTGAAAATATACCATTTTATACAAAAAATATTCTTAGAAAAAGTAAAAAGATATTACAAAAAAAATGTGAAAATTACTCCTAATAATGGCTTCTTGAATTTAAAAAAAAGTGTATTAGTCATTGAGAACACAAGGAAAAAAAGGAGATTGATCTTATCATCATAAAGTTTAAATATAGGAAAATGACATTAAAAAATATTTATTTATTCTTTTAATAATTATAAGTTGTATTATTTTTTTTTTTTTTGTCTACTTGTGTAGTGTATTCGTCAACTTTTGCCTTTATCTAAGAAAAGAATGGCTCTTATTGACACTCTGCTCAAAGGGTCTGCATCAGAGTAAGTCATTTCTTTTCTTAACTACCGGTAACCATAACTTAAGCAGGCTCTATACATATTAAAAATTAGTAGATGTCCAGTAGTAACTGACAGTGTATAATTTCTTTAAAAAATTAGGAAAATCTGCCATATGTCAACATTCTGTTTGGTTTTTGCAAAATCATTCAATAAGTTTGATTTATAAACATAACATCAGGCCATATTTTTTTTTTTTGTTGACTTTGCAGTCCATCTGATAGAAAAATTGTATACATCAATCGCCATGCAGCATTTGAACACAGGGCCAACCCATCTGCAAGTGCTGACTACAGCAATACAGTTTTTATGCAACTGTTTGAAGGACTTAAGCCTCGAGATAAGGCCTCTTCACCACTTACATACAGGTCAACAGGGAAATTTTATACTTAATACGTCCAAAAATTATCAGATAAAATGTTGTTTTATTGTGTTTTTTTTTAAAGACTTGTGGTTATCAGTTTTGTGCTTTTTAATGATTTATGTCAATAGTTATGCTTAAATTATTGCAATTTTTATAAAATAATTTTTATTGTAGGTGGTCACCTCAAAATGACCAGTGGTGGGAATGCAAGTTTATCTCTGAGGGGATTATAGACCAAGGTGGAGGCTTCAGGGACAGCCTCTCAGACATAGCTGAAGAACTCTGTCCTTCTGACCCAGATGCACCTATGGCACTTCCTTTTTTTGTTAGAACTCCAAACCAGGTAAGCTTAACTGAAACATAAATTTAAATTAAACAGACGTATCAGAAATATGAAGGATATTTAAAAATAACACCATTATTAATATGTAACAAATGCGTCTGCTTACTAACAAAAATTTTTTATGAAAATTCAAATGAGAATTAGAACAAAAGTAAGATTTCTTTAAAAATAAAATTTCTGTCTAGTTTTCATAAAATTTGAAGAAAGCTTTTTTTTTTTTCATTTACTATGCCAATGTGAATCTCTTATCTTATTCAAATACTGAGTTTTTGGTTTGGCTTTTAAAGTAAAAAAAAAAAATTTTGTTTAAATGATTTACATTTTTTTCTCAAGAACTTTCAAATGCTTTTAGGTCTATGTCCTAATATATGAATGATTAAATTTCTTATTTGTCAGGGAAATGAAGATGGTAATGTGAACCGTGATTGTTACATTCCCAACCCAATGTGCCACAGCCTGGACAAGTTTGAATGGATTGGTCAACTGATGGGGGCTTGTTTCAGAGGAAAAGAAATACTGGTAAACACATTACGAGTGGCTGAGGAAAAACTAGAAATCTAAAGACTAAATTTAAATTAATACTAGTAAAATTTGAAGATTCAAAATTATTAAGTTTGTTATTTCTTTTAAAAATTAAAATTTTGAAGACTACAGCTGTTTTTGTGCAATATCCCATTGTCAATCACATCGCAAGTTGGCTTTCATTAACTTTCAACTTCTGGTGTTTGAGATTTTTCCTTTGTGTTTACCTTCTCCTAGGGAATAGATTCCTTACTAGGCTAAATAGTCCACTAAAATAAGATTGGTTTATCAATTACTGTACAATTATATTATAATTGTACAGTATTTGTATATGGATATTTAAATACCCGTACCGGTATGTTGATAAATAATGTATTGAAATATTTGTGAAGATTTAGCAATTCTTTTACAGATTGTTTCTTTGGCTCCATATGTCTGGAAACGTCTTGTGGGTGAGATCTACACCTGGTCTCATGATTTTATTACAGTTGATGCAGCAGAGGTGTGTACTAAGATGATCATTTTGGTCTTTATTATATTCAAACATGTTTTTATTAAACAATAGTGGTTTTTAATAGACCATTACAGTCTCATGCAGTTTTTGGTATTATATTTATATTCTTGAATGTTCAGGTAAAAATCATTGATAACCTGGTCAACATGGATAGAGATACTTTTATGGCAGCAGGCAGAAGCTGGTCCATGGTGTTGAGTGATGGCTCACACATAACTATCAAATTGGACGATGATGGCAACCCGAAGCCACTGGCTTATGAAGATAGGGAAGAGTATGTTGAAAAGGTCAGAGAGATCAGGCTTGGAGAATGTGACAAACAGGTTAGAGGTTATCACTTTGTGTTATGTCTTTGTGTTTTAGCCATCATTTAACATTGTAAGGCTCGAAAGGTCAATTTTATTTTGAATACCAATAGGCAGCATTTGAGTCCACCTGTATTGATTTGTAATTATTATTTTTTATTTTGATGCTTATTGCTGAATATAGTGATTTCCCAATATTAAACATGAAGTTGTCACAGGTTCACATGTGTTTCCATTAGGTATCAAAAATTGGTCTAATCTTTATTTCATTTGAAAATTAAAAATATTTCTTGGGAAAACCATTACAATTTTTTTTAAATATGTCACTTAATTAATTATAGTAATGTAATTCATGTAAAGTATTTAAAAATTGAAAAAGACGACTCTGTACATATAAATAGCAAATTTCAAAGGATCTTTAAATGAAAATCATACTTATCTTTTGTGTTTAAAAAAATTAATTTGGTTTCTATTAACTGTATCAAATATATAAATTCGCTGATTATTTGTTTTACTTCTGTTAAAAAAAATCTTTGAGCAGATTGTTGTTTTTTTAAAGGTAAATTTTCAAATTAACCCCCTCTTATTTTAGTTATTTATTAATTCACTTTCTTATGTTATAGCTAAAGGCTATGAGAACTGGTCTACTGAAGGTCATACCTGAAGCAGTCCTTGAACTTTTAACCTGGCAGGAATTAGAAACAAGGATTTGTGGAGAGCCAGATATCACAGTAGAAGCCCTCATGAAAAATAGTGAGCCTCTAATCTATTAGTACCCATAGTATTTTGGTTAATGTGTCGTTTGTAACTTTGATGAGATGGATTAACTTAAAACTAGTTCCTGTTGGTCATTGAAAGTGTTGGCATAAGTCATGAAATTTTGTTTAATGTGCATTATTAATCCAATAAACCTCTCCATTCTAAATCCCTTTAATTTTAAGTACCAATCGTTTTCCTTTTATTTAACAATTTATTTTGTTTTGGCAGCATTTTACCATCACATTGATGAGGATGATTTGAGGGTAAAATACTTCTGGAGTGCTGTCAAAAATTTCTCCAATGAAGATAGGAGCCGACTTTTGCGTTTTATAACAGGCAGAAGACGATTGCCTGTCTCCATATTCATATCATCTGGGAAAATGTAAGTACATTTTCTCATTTTTTTTTCTTTATTGAATAGGTTTTCTAATGCCATATTAAAATAATAATGTAACTATTGTATAAATTTGTGTTTGCCTTACTTTTGGCGGACCGGTGGACAAGTTTCAAATTGGCATGGGGGACTGGTGACAGATTCATTTATTTTATTGTTATGTCATTCTTTTCCTAATTAGTTACGCCTGATAAATCATTTTGTTCTTTCTGATGTATATTAATTCATCAAGTCCTTTGAAAAATGAAAGAAATTTTTTAACAAAAATTATTGCAACTAAACATTTTGATAAGCACATTTTCAGACAGTTAATAATATTTGTATCAAAAACTAATTAGAAAATTTAGTGAAATAAAATGGAAAACCGAATGTTAAGCAATTTCTTCCCAACTTAGCTTTTTTAATTTGAATTGTTTCCTCTTTGCAGCAGTCCCAATAACCCACTACCAGAATCATCAACATGTTGCAACACCTTGCATCTTCCTCTATACACTGAGTAAGTCGCTCAGTTTGTATTTAATTTCTGACATCTTAAACTAAATTAACACTCTTTAACTTAAAGTCATTATTGCCTCTAAGTGAGTGTAGTTTTTATTGTATATGGCAGTCAATGGCAGTTGATTTTTTGCGCTTGAGAAACACTTGTAATGCATCGTGTTCAAAATGTCATATGGGTAGTTTAAAAATTTTTGTCTTGGTAAGAATATCTATTTGCTGAAACTGAAACACTAAAATTGAATAACGGTATGACAAATGAAATAACATTTTAAAAATTTCTTTTTATTGGATAAAGAAAAGAATCTTATCCTATCAGTATCTTTAAGAAGAAATTAGGATGTTCCTGTTTATTTTTTTCATTCCTAATAGAAAGATACTTTACAAATTAATTTGCTTTTTAATTATTTATATTTTTAGTGAAAAGACAGCAGAAGAAAGACTTCGTTACGCAGCATATAATTGTGTGTCCATTGACACTGATGAGTAGGATACACAAAGTTGTTCATAGGATACTACTGAGCAAATGTTTGGTGCTTATGAGTTTATGAAGATTATTCAGTAGGATACCCATTACCATTAATATTTTAGTTTAATACACTTAAAAGTTTTACATATATACCGGTATATATATTTTGCAAAGCAAATTTATCAAAATTTACTATAGATTTGGATAAGGTTGTCAGAAGTTTAAATTTCTCATAAATAGTTGTTTAACTATGGCACATTACAATACTAGGACAAATATTTTAAGTTCTTTTATAAATAGAACAGTTTCTGAGTATTTGATTTTAACAGATTTCCCAAAAAATATTTTAAACATGATTATTTTTGTACCGGTATTAGTTGCTATCAATTTATATTAAGTTTATAATATTAAGATAAAATTATGATTTATTTATTGACTTACTAAAGGTGTTTTCTTATATAATTATAATACCGGTACAGAAATATTTATTATTAATCCAGATATTTTGTTGCTTTTAAATTTAAAGATCCCATGATTACTATGAATCATGAATAAAATGTTATCATCTAAAACAACTCTTCAATGCTTTTAAAATGTTTTAATTTAACCTGAAATTAAATATTTATTTCTTGTAATTTAGAAACTTCATATTAACATTTTAAATAAAACATTCTTGAAAATAAAATTTTTCTGGCACTCAGATATACAATGCATATGCTCATTAAAAGTTAATCAGAAAAATATAAATCTTCCTAGAAAAATAAATGCTGTTATCAACTAATGCTAGTACAACAAAAATGTTATACTTTCATAATTTTTTAAATTTATTTTAAAACAATTTAAGTTGTATGTAGAAATCAAATAAAATTTAAATATTTTTTTAAATTATTTAGACTAGATCCCAAATATCAGATGTACTTGTTATTATTGATTTTATTACTCTAAAGAAGCAAGAGATATTGGTATATTGTAAGTCGTTTTACTTTTCAAATGATTGTGGTTGTAAACAATTGGATACAATTTTTTTTTGCTAAGTTACTAAGAGGCAAAATTGTATTATCTGATGGTTCTATAAAGACTCATTGTTAATATATTTCTTTTTTACCAGTGAGGTATATGATTTTAAAGTGCTTTAATATTTGCACTGATTGCAAATCCAAGAATGCCCAGCACACAGTGGCCTAGGTAGGGTGGGGCAGCTCCCTGGGTGGCACTATTTTTCTTTAAATGGAGGGGCAGCATTTTGCAGAGGTTCTTTTAGTGGAAGAGGGGGGGCAGCAAATACCTTGACACACACTGGGTGGCTTTAACCTTAGCTAGGCCACTGCAAGCACATAAATTATAGCTATGTTTACTTTGTATATAAGACATTCCTCAGGTTTCATCAACCATCCCTCGAGTTAATATGTTTGTAATATTAAACAATTTGTTATTGTTACTTTTAACAAATGCTATTTAATATTTCTCAGATAGGCTACCGGGATAAATAGATTTGTATACATTGGTATCTGACAAAAATGTACTGTTTGTTTTTAAAATCGAACTCCTTAACAAACTGATAGCCAACGTTTGAAAATTAGTTTCTTTTGGCCACTCAAACTATCTTAATCTGGTTGAAGTTTATTATTTTTATTATATTTTGACATATTTCACTGTTACTATTAAAGTTGAAGCTCTTCATACGTCTTTAAATTAATTTGTGTTAAAGAAGAATCTTTCTAAGGGTGCATAGGGGTGATTTTATTTCATTGTATAGCCACATTTTAAGATCCATCATAGCATCTTAGTAGAAAATATGGATGCGTGAAGAGGAATACGCTGGTACTGGTAGACAGAAATTTGCATTAATTACTGTGAACAAGTATCTTTATGTTTTTACAAAGGTAAATGGAGATTGCCAAAATATTGTTTATTGGTTACTTCATTCTGAGGTATGTGATTATTATTTAAAAGCATTGAAATATTGTTTTTTTAATCCATTCTTTTTATCCTTTACAATAATAAATAACATATTTCAAACTTAGCTTATTGATTTTTCATTATTCTTCACAATTATTATTATGAAATTATTGAAATAGAATGTACCGACACAAATAAATATAGATGGTAGAAAATTAATGCTTTATTTAAAAAAAATAATAATAGCGTTTTATGCTCCGTTACTTAACATTTTAATATATTGACGGATTGGGTCATAATTTAATAATAGGAAAAATTCTAAACAAAGTGTTTGACCCTTATAATTTTCAATTAAAAATCTTATCCAAATATATTCCAATGTGTGATAAAATGTATATTTTCAAATTTAGAAACTTGATGAGATGGAAGGAGTTAAAATAGGTATAAAAATATATTTTGTTTCAAATATGGTGCATATAATTAATATAAATTACAATGTAATACTAACAAAATGCCTCTCACTTACGAAAATTTTAAAGCGTGATACCGGTATCTACATAAATATCTCTGTATTGTTATCTCAAGGAAGTAAAAAAAAATGATAACAATGGGACTGCATTAAAAAGGTGTGTATGGTGAGCAAAGGCTTTCCAGCAGAAAAGTAGTTAAAAAAATACATCAATACAATTTAAATCCCAAACTGACTAGAATGAGAATTGCTACTTTGTTCTGCCAGAGTCATGAAAGGGTAAAGTGCTTGCAAGAACTCTGAATATTTTAGTAAAGAAAATATTTCACTAAAGCTGAGTTTACAGTTTTTAAAAATAAGTACCAGGGTATTTCAAAATAACAAGCTCAGCGTTCCCTCATAGGTATTCTAACTGAGCTACCGTTACTAAGAATAGACAATTTATGAAACGTTATAACCTCACTCTTTTTTTACTTTTGCAAAAAATTAGTAAAAATATAAGGGCAACAATAATCAGATCCACAAACATTAGCAAAATAGCTAATGGCAAAATGTTGGATGTTGGTTTTTCAGTAATTGGGGATGGATCATTGTCTTCAGTGTCGCTATACATCTCCTGACTGTGACTATAATGTTCCTGAATAATTTTCCAAACATGTCGCATTATAGTCGCTTCTCGACCTTCTATTGTATTTAATACTAGGGCTATCATAATCTTGCTGTGAGTATAATTAGTGCTCGTCAGTTCATTAATCATGGACGGTTTTTGTCGGGTGCTAGTAAAATGTTGCGATGTATTGGTCCATTTGACTGATGCTGCATCTGCAATTTGACTCAACCATGCACCTTTCAGACCAACACCATGGTCATTGAGGGCATTCACCATTTTTTCCAATACTGCTAGAGTAGTTAGAAAGGCTTTACTGCTGCAATATGGTTTTGACATTTCTCCCTCAGGCACTAACGTTGCTTCATTTGGTGATAAATAATCACATAAAAACAAAGGTGTCCATGAGTAAGGCAGTGATTTTAAAAAGCGTAAAAGCTTCGACACGTCCACTATTGAGGCATCCTCAACTGTTAACACATAAGATGCATGGGAACAGTAATTTTTAATCCAGAAAGTTGAAACCACCAATTTGGATGTAAAGATATTGTCATTCACAGAATGCCACTGCACCATATCAGGGTGAGTGCTGCTTTCTTTTGTAAGTGACAACTGAACTTCAGGTGGACTGTCGGGGTATGCAGGGACAAAAAACAAAATTGGAACAAAGTCTTTTAGATTCTTTTGGTTTCCCCATGTTTCCCTGATTGCTGCTCTTTTATCATAACTACCAAAAGTGCTATGCACAATAATTAGCAGCAGGACATTAGTGTGGGCTCCACATGCCTGGGGTTGATTAAATGTCAGCTGAACACCCACATTGCTGTTGTACATCATCAGTGCTTGGTACAAGAACCTGAAACTGAACATAATAATACCTATGAAATAAATATATACCAAATTGAATAATAAAAATCATTTAACTTATGCTAACTTATTAGGTGTAGGACTAATACAATATGCAATAAATTTACTTTCATATGTCAAAATGGGTATCATGACCCGGGGGGGGGGGGG